ATATTATATACAAGTACATATATATGTACATATTATAGAATCGAGGATTCCCTTGAGAGAGAAACTGTAAAAAGAGATAACACAGCGGCGGGGGCTCCTCCTGCATGCAGCCTTTTTATGTGTCTTCGGTGAGGTGTAAGAAGAGATGATGGAGGGGACAACATAAACATACATCTGCCGTTTCTGGTTTATTATTATGTTGAAGTAAATACTTTACATAAAATACACTAACACTGGGACATTTGTTTACTTTTCTGCTGAGACAAAACTTTGGTTTTTCACGTTTGCCTTCTGTATATATATATATATATATATATATATATATATATATATATATATANTTTGCCTTCTGTATATATATATATATATATATATATATATATATATATATATATATAATTATGCACATATATACATGAGTTATACGTGTATCAGATATGCGTTGGAGTATATAGGTTTCTCCATTCCTCACCGCATCGATAGAGTGAGACTACCGCTATTTGCAGTGCATGCATCTCAGCCGCTTATATTTAATGCAGCGAAGGTATAACACAACCCCAACAGCAAGTTGCTTCGGCTTACAGCTCAAGGAAAGCTGTATTGTACATAGAGACATGAACACGAACGGCAGATGAAAACCGAGATTCTCCTCTCAGTTGATGCTGTGTCGCGGGGTGGGGGAGGGGTCAATGCAAAAACTAATTAAATAAATAATTAAATAATAAAGTCTGATCTGTTTGGTTCCTTGTCTACAAGCGACTCAAGAAAAACAACTGCGATACACACGAAGCCTCGTCAGCTGGTGGTGGGCTTGCTGCATGTATGGTATTGAAATGAGAAGCGGAAAACACTGAAAAATAATATTCAGTTGTCGTTGCTGCACAATTTCATAAATACACACGAAACGCTATTTTGATAGACAGAGGATTGGCTGCATATGGAGAGAAAGAGCAACAGCGGAGAGCAGTAAGAAACACACAACCAAGTTGCGAGGCGGTGCCCTTGACTTGTCTATTTTCTCGGTGGAACAACAAACTTATATTTAAACTCATTTAAATAAATATTTATAGAGAAGAAAGCAACAGACAACAGCCCGAGAAAGTATGCCGAGGCGGGCGGTACCCCTCCATCATGTGGGGGAGAAGAAAGCGTATTCAGGAAAGGTGTCCATGGCTTGAATGTATTGAATATTTTGTTTATTTTCTTTGTTTTATTTGTGTGAATTATAGTGAAGTTTCTGAGTTTCGTTTTTTTTGTGTTTATCCGAGCTCTGGCTGGTGCTGCAGGCGTTCTTCTTCTCACCGCATGCAGGGGAGGAAACCTTGTTGTGCAGCTGCGGCTGCGGCTGCGGCTGCGGCTGCGGGAGGATCTGTGTTTGTGGCATTTCCACAGAGCGGCGTCAGCTTGGGTATTTGCGCCGACGTTCAGTTTAAACCATTTCAGCTCATGGACAGCTGAAGGGTAGAGCTGCAGAGCTCTCAGTACCGCCACCGCAGCAGAGGCGGCCGGCCGCCTTGCATGGGTCGAGGCTACGGTAATATTACTGATCTCCCTGGGAATATCTTTGCTTTGTTTTAATTAAAAGGAATTAAGAAAAGGTTTTTGCTCCGGTCTACACAACAAAAAAATCACGGATGCGTATGAACTGGCCCCCCGTCTGCTGTTTCCTCTGGGGCTGTGGAATCTGATCGGATTGCCTGCAGCTACGGAACCATCCTCCACCNAGCAACAGCAACAACACGGGTAGTCAGGCCCCCTTGACGTCTAAAGGTGCCTTCGACTCGCACCTTTACGGTGAAACACCAGTTCATCAATATTTGTCTGAAATTCCAGCAGAAGATGAACAGCCAACGCCGCTTGGGGTGTTTGGGGAGGACCCGCAGCAGGCGCGGGGTGGTGGCGTGGATGCTGTAAGCCGGTTAGTAGAAAGCGAGCGCCGAGCCATGCTGGCTGCGTCTGGTGGGGATGCAGCGGATGCAGCAGCTCTGCTTGAGAAGAGAGCTATTGCTGCGAGAGAGGATATGTACAGGAGGCAGAGGTTCCAGCGTGCACTGTCACCAGAAAGGCAGGATCCGTTTGCTGCTGATGGGGGGAGAAGAGCTGATGTAAGCGCTAGGAGCTACGCAGACGTCATGGTGGAGCAGCAACTTGATCGCGAGAAACAAGCAGCAGTTAAACAAATCCGAAAACTCCAAGAGGATGCGGCGATCGCGCAGCAGCTGCTGCAGCAGCGGCAGCAGGAGGAAGCAGCAGGAGGAGCTGCAGCAGGGAAGAGACCGAGGTGGGACGGTGAACGTCAACTGACGGAGGCGGAACGCTTGACGCTGCAGCAGCAGCAGCAGCAGCAGCAAGGCGCCGAGGGCGCAGCAGCAGCAGCAGCAAGCCTTGCAAGCCGCTGGGACACGCCCCTGCAGGCTGGTGGTCAGGCCCCTGGCTGGGGTGACACCCCAGTTGCTGTAGCAGGAGAAGGAGCAGCAGAAACCGGAGAACAAAAACCCAAGAAAAGAAGCAGATGGGATGCAACACCAGCACAAGGAGGCACTGGCCAGGTACACATATCATCCGCTGCATGCACTGCATGCACTGCATGCATGCAAGTTTCTAACCCCGACTAGGGTTTAGTTTTCAGGGTTTAGGGTTTAGGGTTTAGGCGTGTTCGTGTGTGTGTATGGTGCTCAGGAGACGCCAACCCCCGGGCAGTGGGGTGCAACGCCGCTGGTTGCTGGGGTGGGGGGCCAGACGCCGCTGGCTATGAAGAAGAAGAGCCGCTGGGACGCGACGCCGGTGCCTGGGGCGGAGGAGGGAGCGGGAGCGGGATCGGGTGTGGGGTCGGCGATGGCCACGCCCCTCACCGGGGCCCGCCTCACCGACGGCTCCGACGCGGGCCTGGCCACCCCGGGCCTCTCCCAGACCCCGGGGGCCACCCCCATGACTTCAGGGCTTACACCGGGAGCAACACCCCTTGCTATGACAGGTAAACACTGCTGCTGCTGCTGCTGCTGCTGATTGTCGTTGTGATACTGCTGTTGCTGCTGGGAGGCAGGGTGGGGGCGTGCTGCTGTTGGGGGTGGTCGTCTGTTTGCTACTGCTGCTGCTGCTGCTGCTGCTGTTGGCGGTGGTGGTAGTGCTGCTGCTGCTGCTGCTGCAGTGCCATCACTGCGGTGAGGAGCTGCAGACGTTCTGTGCTGACATAGAGCTGCTGNNNGGGACGCCGCTGCAGACACCGGAGCAGCTGCTGGCGCTGCGGCTGCAGCAGGAGTTTGATGAGCGCAACAGATATCTAACAGACGAAGAGCTAGATAGGATAATGCCGACAGAGGGGTATGAGGTGGTACAGCCCCCCAGCGACTACAACCCCCCCCCAGCCTCAGCAGCAGTTGCTGCAGCACGGGCGAGGCAACAGGCCCTCGCCTCATCGGGTATGGGGCCTGCAACCCCGGGTGTATCTTCAGCTGCTACACCTCTTGGGGTTACACCCATGTACGTTATGCCTGAAGAAGGTGGTATTTCTGTTAAAGCCCTCGACCCCACGGGGTCACTTCTAGACCCCCAGGGGCTGGGAGAAGCAGCTGGCGGCGTGCAGATGAAAGCCGAAGATTTCCACTTCTTTTCAAAATTATTTGAAGAAAAATCAGAAGACCAGATGACCCAAGAGGTAATACTCACAGCATACGAAACCCCCTTTCTGCATGCAACACGCGCATGCAGTGCAGCTCAGGCAGGAGAAAGCTTANCACAGCATACGAAACCCCCTTTCTGCATGCAACACGCGCATGCAGTGCAGCTCAGGCAGGAGAAAGCTTACGGGGGAATACTCGTTGATGACGGGCCACACATATGCAACATGGTTGCAGAAATATATGGCCAGATGTAGGTATTTGGGGGGAGGGGGTTGACTGCATGTTTCTAGGGTGTACATACAGTACAGCTGGTTTGACGCAAGAGGGTTCTGATGGTTTAGGTATGTGTTGCTGTGGTGTTTGTGTGTATTGAATTGTTTAGGAAGTGAAAGAGAAGAAAATTCAACTTTTGCTGCTGAAGATAAAGAATGGAACGCCGCCACTGCGTCGCTCTGCTCTGCGTATATTGACGGATAAGGCGAAGGAGTTTGGCGCTGCTGCGTTGTTTAACCAAATATTACCACTGATGATGCAAACAACTCTGGAGGATCAGGTGGGTTGGGTGTGCTGATCGGGGTGTATATACACTTGAATGAGGGAGGCCTGTGTGTGTGTTGCTGGGAGCTTGCTCTTTCTGCATTGAATATTTCATTGAATCTGTGTTTCTCTGCC